ACAACAATGGCCCCCCCCCCCCCCCTTGACCCTTTGCCTTACTGAAAACGGCAAAACTCAATAAGCACTGAAAGTGAAATAAGGTTTGAAAATGTATTAATCTTCAGTTTCCCCATAATTATATGAATGATTTAGCAAATGGGGCACAAAGGGAGAAGAGCAATTCATCTTAAAGTACACTTATCCTTTAAGGGCATGATCTCTCGGGAGAAAAACTCCTGTTGTGTCCCTTCCCTTGGTGCCCTAAGTATGTGCTTATTCTAATTAATGGTTAATGCAGCTCTGACTAAGGTGGTTATATATTTTGATTGAAGGGTGTGGCTAGGGAGTTACTACTGAAATGAGTACTTTTTGTATATTTTCCACTGCAAACAAGTGCCACAAGTGGAGATATAGATATATCTATCAGAGAAAGATGGGTGTTTTTTGGCTCCAGAAAGAACAAGTCCAATAAACTTCAGTCTCAAAAGTATAAATTTATTAAAGTAATTTGTAAAAAGCATTGCATATGCATAAAGGGTATAAAAAGAGACTTGCACCCCAGAGGAACAACCTCCTATCACCCCCTAAATAACATAAAGCGAGGTTTAACTAGATGGTCATGGACCTGAACATATATGGTACAACATCATAGCAACAAAAAAAACCTAATATTGGTTAATTTAATAAACCTCGGATGCAAAGAACAATACCTATATGGGTGATCATTGGCTTGCAATGCTAGAGGAGCATTGCTTGTGAGCTCAACGTGTTTCGCGCCAGGGGGTGCTTCAGGAGGAGAGGGAGGTAGTCCCTGCAGTGTGAGGTCAACAAGTGCTCGGCATGAGCATCGAACGGACTATGGGCATGTGTACCCAGAGTGGAGGAGGTAGAAAATGCACACCAGAATGGGCCTAAAAAGTCAAGGAATTTAGTTTTAAGGTAATAGGTGGTGAAGAAGGATCCAATGGTGTGGAAGAGTCCAGGGCAGCTGGTGGGACCGTCCTCCACCAAAGGACGCCGATGTTAGTGGGGCCGTTGCCAGCCCTGCACTTATATATATTTTTTTTTTTTCTGAGGTCCAACCTCCTAAAGCTAATTTACTCAAATTAAATCGCCACTATGTTAATATTGCTATAACCCCAAAAAAATGTTTAAACTTTTAAAATAACTTGTTATCTTGCTATACCTCAAACATATTTTTCTTTTCTTTTTCAGTTCCCCACAGTTTACCTAATGGTAAGAAACTAAGCCCTTTAAATCTTTTCCAGATGCATCAGCTTACAGCGTGGAGACCAGGAGAAACTACTGACCTTGTTAAATAAACACTTTTGTGGTTATTTCAAAATTTGCCTCAGTATAAAATCTTGTCCCTTGCCAGCATGTTACAGATGGGGACCTCTGCTCTGTGTGAGGTGCAGGATACCTCCTGCTGAGTCCGAGCCAGAGTTCTCCCATCAGCAGGAAGAATTAGCTTTGCTGACTGCAGAGCTAGAAGTGTGACTCGGCAGAGAGTGTTGATGCTCTGCATGGAGACTTCTGCTTCCACATAGGGTGCAAGGGTCCTCGCTGCAATGTTCTCTGTGCTGGCAGGGGACTGGCTGCATTCTAAAGAAAATGGTAGGATTTTGCAAACCTTTAGCCGGGGCACAGGAATCTGCTAGAGGAAGCAAGGATTACAGTGTATGTATAGTTTTACATTCCTGTCCAGGAGAGGTAACTGGAATTGGGAGGAAATCTTTACAACATGAAGGGAACATTTTGTCACTAGAACAGGTGCCTCCATTTGAGGATTTACCCTCCTCTTGCTCTGGTGATGACTATAAAATGTTGGCTTTCCTATTTTCTGTCTCGGGTCAAGAGGGCAAATGGAGAGTAAATATAGTCAACAGACTCAGAGGTTGTAACACTCTCCACATATACCGTATAGTCTTAATATTGTAGAGCACACCCCCGTAGGAGCCGCTGAATAACCGGGTACTTCCATAGCCCGTCTGGGGTATTAGCAACCTGGCTGCCCCAATAGCATTTACAGCCCTCTGTGGCGACCGATAAAGCTGAGATCCAGATTTTAGATATGGTGCTGAAGGAACTTTTTATTGTAGAACTTCAGGAAGAGAGGTTTAGGACCTAGGACATCATGAGAAAAAGACAGACTCCAGACCCGCCAGTTCCCTTTCAGTATTCCACAGTGCCGGATCAATAGGAAAACCTGGTGACACTGGGTATTTCAGCAAAGAGCTGAAGAGGGATAGGCAACGAGATCTTCGGTAGGCGAGGCACCGAAGTTGCTCCTGAGGTTCATTCAGTCCTAGGCACCTCCAAGCAGCTTCTCAATCAGTATGAGGCCTCCTCCAGGCTTGAGGCCTAGTGAAGCATTCCACCAGACCTAAGCCCGGTGCCAGGCTGGATTAAGACTCCAACCAAAGACAGAACTGATCATATGGCAATTCCCCAGCATGAGTATATATGCACTTCCCCCTGCATGCACCACTGGCCATGAAATCACCAGTTATCGGCTGGTGAGACACAAACTCGTAATGCTCTCAATTAGCTGTCCCAAACTGCAACAGGATCACACTCTCTGGCAGGTACTATCAATGTAAGAACACCTGGAATTAACCAGATGCCAACTATTATTCATCCAGGCCGACTACAGCTCTGGCAACACTACATTTCTAGTAGCCACTCCACTAAAGATGGTAGGGGCTACAATATTATGGCTATACATGCACTTCAATCTTTACTTGGGCATAAACTGAGGCCCCATGTACAATCCAGGGTTGAAGGACCTCAAAAGGGACACTAATTAGTTTATAGTTAAACCGAGACACCACTTCAGCTGCTACAGGACACCTGCACATTACCACTGTTGCCTTCAGAAATATTTTAGGGCAGGTCAGGTTGACTTTAAATACTAGAACTCTGAATTCAATAAATAACAAATAACATAAAAGCAGCACACCATACTATGCAAGACCTGATTTTTGCCCTTCAATCCATGAAGTCCATGTATAAGTTCAATGGGTAACACACTGGTCCTGGAGCTCCTCCTAAGATCAAGGGGAGGGGGGATCTGAACTGGTGCAGGGAAAACACAAGCAGAAAATTGTGCAGGCATTTGGCTGCATGTAAAAATGTAGTTTTATGAATTGGGGGTGGAGGGGGCATTTTTCCCACCTACAGCAAGGTAAAGACCATGGGCTCATGTGACATGTCCACGGTGTGGCATGAAAGATGAGCACCAGAACCTCCTCCTGTGTCTACTCACTGGATCTGATTCAGAAAACATATGCAGCATCCATCGCAACCTGGATGACCTCGGGTAACACGCTTCTTGTGAGATTTTTCTAGGTTCGGCCCCTTCCTCAAGCCTCCTTGAGTCAGACTGCCAGGAAGAGGTTCCAGGGTTCATCTTTCATGTGGCACCATTGACACGTCAAATGAGCCCATGGTCTTGTTTTCCCTCAATAAAACTACATTTTTAACAATGCCTGCACCTTCTTTGCTTGTGTTTTTTTTTTTTTTTTTTTTTTTTTTTTTTTTTTTTTTTTCTATAAATTGAATGAGGTTGTTGGATTAAATATTTTTTATCTTAAAGTGACATTAAACCCTCAGATTTTTTAACATAAAACAATACTGTAATCAATGGTCGTTTCCCTTCTCTTTGCTGCTCTTTCCTTTTAAATCTGTATCTGTTCTCATGCTGGGCAGAACTTCTGTTTTGCAGCAGACTGCCTTGTCTCTGGAATGGATACATGGTGTCTGTGTGTAGGTTTGCAACCTGAGCCAGCACTACAGGAAGAGGCACTCAGCTGCAAAGGGAAGTTCTCCCCTAGCATAAGAAGAGAGAAGGATTTAAAAGGAAGAGCAGCAAAGAGAAGGGAGACGACCATGGATTACCGTAAGGCACACATTACAGTATTGGTTTATGTTAAAAAATCTGAGGGTTTAATGTCACTTTAAAGGTAACTTGTCAGGAAAGACATATAGGAGATGCAATTGCTGGTTTGTGTTCGAAGGTGCATGTTCCAGGGCTGTGTGTGTATTTGGGTAGTTTTTATATTCTGGATAGTTTTAGAGCAGCCTTTCTCAACCCTTGTGTGTCTTCTGGCTTCCTCAGAGGTGCCTTGACACTTTGTGATGGTAGGACTGATGTAAAGTGGGAGACAGAGGGCTCCTGATTTGACGGGGCAACCCTACTTTATTTTTTTGCATGGGGTCTAAAATCACATTTATTCTGGGGTGCCTTGAGATTTTGCATACTTTTAAAGGGTGCCCTGACTGAAAAAAGGTTGAGAAACCCTGGTCTAGAGTTAATGCAGCACTGATAACTGCACAGAAAAGTGTTTTTTTTTTTTTTTGGCTATTCTTGATAACCTCTTCCTTCTGCTTTTAGGATCCTTCAAGGACCAGGATCAAGCAATGGCGAAACCAAGAAACGAAGCGTGGGGTGTTGTCAATGGAGTTCCCGCTGATCAACGATGCACCTGTTGGTTCCTACAACGTCATAGCTGAGAGAGAATCCAGTTATTCAATGTCACAATATTTCACAGTGGAAGAATATGGTAACTATTCTACAATTCATAACACCAGGTTCGCCCAAGATTGTGCCAGAATGTCACTTGCATACCTCCCTCCATGTCTAATTATATGCAGCAGGGGCATTCCCCACCCCTTTGTGCTGTGGGGCCGATTGGGGTGGTTCGGAGACTGTTTTGCGTGGCCACGCCAAGCCCCCGCAAATCACTACATCAGTGATTTTAAAGCATGTCTGTGAAGGCTCTCCTTTTATCCAGGTCATGGTATAGCTAGTAATGGTCCTTTTCAACTTTCAAATTTCATTTTAGTGTAATGTATCCTAAAAATACTTGTTTGATAAACATTTGCTCAAATACCGTGCGACATAAAAAATTGCAACTAGCATCTATTGATTTTACAGGGCCTCCGCTTTCAGAGAATACAGGTTATTGCTCTGGGCAGCAAGTGTAGTTGACTCATTTGTCTGTTAACAGATGTAACGAAACAGATGTAACGAAACCTTTTATATTTCAATGCAAAAAGAACCTGTTGGTCCTGCAACAAATCCAATGACCTTCTAACCACCTCTGCTACTCTGAAGCAGTGTTGTCAGCCCTGTACCGTTCTCTCTGAACTACAGGACACTTCCTCCCTATGTTATGGAGAAGAGTGCTGCAGTCCAAAATGGAAGAGAGCATCTTGGGGGTGGTAGTGCTGCCTCTACAGATAATGTTCAGTAATTTGAGTGTTGCCCAAGGACAGGAAGTGTTACTGGCAACATCAACAGGTGAAAACGAAGTAAACAAAAAAAACAAAAACGTATGCAGCCACCACATAGAATGATTGGTGTGCTGCAATACAGAACAATTTTTGTTTGGTTTCGACATACCCAAGTATGATCTAAACCTGACACATTTCCTTGTAACCGCTGTGATGTCCTGTGTCCTCCCACCAACCACGGTTTCCCCATCCTCTGGGTTCCACCATTTGCCCACAGTGACCAGGAATGTCCAAACTCCGGCCCTCCAGCTGCGGCGAAACTACAAATCCCATGATGCATCTCTCTCCGGTAGTCATGTCTGTAGCTGTGAGAATCCTGCAATGCCTCATGGGATTTGTAGTTCCAACACAGCTGGAGGACCGGAGTTTGGACACCCCTGCCCCACACGGTCTACATATAAAGGTAGTGAATCTGTGTACCGCTGATCCTATGCGTACAAAAACCTTATTCTGTCAGCAGTGACCGAGGCAATCCACCCACATCCTTCTACTGACATGCTTCGCCCCCCTACTGCCTATTGCCTTTTTAAAAAAAAAAGCCTTCTCCTTGGCAAGGGAAATCCTTCTAACATGGCACAGACTGGGAGGAGAAAAATTACCGGGTACACACCAGTTCCCTGTTCTTTCCAAAATTAAATAGTGTTTGACTATAGATTGCCTTCTCTGCGTTTGGTAGAAAAAATAGTTAATTGCGCTTAATTTTGTGCATGTGACTTTCAGTGCTGCCCAGGTTCAGTGTGGCCGTGGATGTCCCAGACACGATCTCTGCATTGCAAGGTGTTCTGAAGTTCTCAATCTCTGCAACGTAAGTAATCTACAGTATTTGCGGGTGCAAAGGTGGTAAAGGAGTGGCCATACTGGCTGTGCTTCAGTCCAAGTCAGGACTGATGTGTGTGATTTTGTTTCAGAATGGATGGCATGCGGAATGGTTAGAACCTCTGGCAGATTTTGATTGCTATAACTCCCTATTGGTCTTCATGTCTTTTTTCCCCCAATGGTAATCCTGTTTCATTGACAACTAAGAGGATGTTCTCTGCAGAATTCAATATCTGTAGCATTTGGGGGGAAATGAAATCCATTCATGATGTCCATAAGGGGCTCTGCTAGAATAAAGTGTGTGTGTGTGTGTGTGTGTGTGTGTGTGTGTCCTCTGCTACTAACTGAGGCTCTAGTAGGATGGAACCATAGCCAGATAAATACAACAACGTTGAGCATCAAAGGGGTCGTTAACATTCTTTTGCATAAGTGGCACTCTGCATGCCATGTTCACTACTGGACCAAAAACCCATGGATACCTATACTCTTTATGATTTGCGGTAAGGAACTGGTAGCTATCTGACTTGACTGCTGTTTTTCTTCACCTCAGGTACACCTATGGTGAACCAGTGGCTGGCAAAGTCACAACGCTATATTGTAAACAGTCCGGTTTGTATGGCAGACGCCAGAACTGCCTCGGAGAGAAAGGAGAGGTCTGCTCCAATATGACAGGAGAGGTGAGTAAACCTTATGCATAATGGGCTTCTGACCTTCAAGCTGGCTCATTTTAATATGCGCCTCATGATGCATCTGTATCGTAGAAATCCTATGGGTTTGACAGGATGGTGTGTGTGTGTCCAAGCTGGCACTTGTTGCATGTAGATATATGGACTGGGGGAGATGTATAGTTTTTATTCTTTGTCCATCAACAGCTCAGTCGTGAAGGGGTTTACAATGGTGCCATAGACATGTCTGGACGTTCCATGGGGTTGACGGGAATGTCCGTGCGACTAGAGTCTATAATTACTGAGGATGGAACAGGTAACTATCATATACTGTATGTACTAATTATAATTTCCGTGTGTGTGCCACTAGTGTTTCATTTTCCCATACAGGGTCTGAAATCTAAAAAAAATAAAATCTTGCATCTTCCATAGGAATCCAAGTTTCAAATTCCCGTTATGTGTGGGTCACCACCCAACCAGCAAGGCTTAACTTTGACTACAGTGCCATGAATCAGCACTACAAACGGGGTATTCCATATCCTATTGTGGTGAGTAAATTCTACATCACTCGTGGAGGGTTCTAGTACATCAGTCCTGACACTTGATGATGTAGCGCTGGCTGGAAACCTCCAATTTGGTAAAATTTGCTATCAAATTACTTTGTTTGTACAGGATTTTTGATGTGGCCTCTTTCTACAAGATTTTGGGGTGTCTGTTGGAATGTGCGCCCATTCAACCAAAAAAGCATTTGTGAATTCAGGAACTGATGTTGGATGAGGATCTGGCTCACAATCTGCATTCCAATTAATCCCAAAGGTTTTCAGTATGTCTTTATGGAGCTGGCTTTGTCCACAGGGGCACAGTCCTGCTGGAACAGCAAAGGGCTCTCGGCAAACTCTTGCCATAAGCGCACACTTGTCTAAAATGTCTTTTGCATTCTGTAGCATTGACAGTACCCTTCACTGGAATCCATTATGTGGAGGGATGGCTACAGACTTTATAGGTGGTGTCATGATCAACTGTCCACAAACTTTGACCATATAGTGTACTGTCTTTTATTTTTTGAGCCCATTGGATTCTTTAAGAACCTGTATAGGCCTAAAGAAATAAGAATAGGACAGTGGCCAAATCATGGAAGTCATCTACACTTCCCTTCTTGGAAGTACAGCACAGACTCCAATGGACTTTCGGCCAGGCTGGCCGACATGGTTCTTCGCTTTGAACAAATTTGGAACCCATGAATGCAACACTTGCGGGTGCAATCTTTTGATGAGTGCCTGCTGCCATTCTGAAATCTAAGAGAACAATCCCATCCTTTGCCCCTACACCAGGAATGGACCAACTCCTTCCTTTCATTGTCTCGCCTTTTTTCTCTCTATCCCTTTTTCCTCTTCTAACACTACTTACCTTTTTTCTCCATCCTACTTTGCCTCTTCTCCCAGTTAGGAGAGGGAGGTATTTATCTCCTGTTTGGCTATCCACGTTCATACAAGGTTAAACTGGAATTAAGGAAGGAGCATTCAGCATGCTAAACAACCCTGTATCAGATTGCTATCGTTATACGTAATGCCTTCTGCGGTTTACTCCCTCCATAGAATGCTCAAAAAATGCAACAACTCCAGCTTTGTGTGCTACCTCCATGTTTTATATATTCCGGTTCTACTTGATTGTTATATGTTTTGAAAATCTCAAACTATTGAAATTAAGAATACAGTTCAAAGAGTTACTTATTTGACCTTCTTGCGTTAGTGCCAACACGTGTTTTAATAAGCTGGAGTAACCCTTGTTTATGTTGAATCCTAATATGTTAAAATGTTCACAGCTTATTTGTCTTTTTTGTCCAGGCACGACTAGTTGATCAAGAAAAACCAATTCCAAACGAAGACGTTGAAATAGAGCTCAACCAGAATCTGATTGGGACTGTGAAGACTGACTCTGATGGGAAAATAGAGTATGGGATGGACACATCTAATATGGTGGCAACAAACTTTACAGTCCGGGTTCGTAAATTACTGATTGTTATGTTGGTGCAAAGATTCCGCCACTGGTAGTGTTTGGTGCTGGAAGTTTTCAAATTGCAAAACTGGGGATGAAAATGCTCACACTAACCTCCAAAGGAAGTGGTATGCAGGTAGAGATGACTTTCCTTAGTCACCTGCACTAAAACTTAAAGCTGAAGTTTATTCTTCCTATATCTTGCCCCCCCAACATGCTAATGAAATCCTTAATTACAATCTATTTTCATTACATACATTCTTTTAGACTCAGTGATGTCATCGCTGGGTCTCTTCAGTTTCCCTAAGCAATGCCAGCAGATCATGGCTGGTGGGAGGGGTTGGCAGGGTGCTGTACATAGCTTCCTGAAAACATCACGGCACCGTGCCTCAGTACTGCTTTCAAGAGCCCTTGGCCCTAATGCAATCAGTGGGATTTAAATTGTAACCGGTTTATATAAATCTGAAAATGCGTTTGATGGGTGGGTGTCAGTCTGGAGGAGTGAGCGTTCTAGGCAGACTGTGTTTGCACTCTTGGTAAAGCCCACTTGTATTGTGAGCTTTCATGATTGAAAGACCTAGATGATATACATCCAGTCGGGGAAAGTAGACGGGCTCTATCTGACTTGCTGCAGCTTCTACTGCACATTGTGGGAAGCTCGCAGTGTGTGCGGCGAAGTCGGTATATCCACTTTCAGTACAATTCCGGGCTGCTTCTAAATGATCTTCTTTCTGTTTCTACAGATCAGTTATAAGAACCCCGATCAGTGTTATTATGCCGACTGGAGGGACACAGACTATCCAACAGCTGAATACACGGCTTTCCGTTTCTACTCTCGAACGGGTAGCTTCATTCAGGCAAAGCGCGTACAAGGCGAATTAAAATGTGGGCAGAGCAAAAATTTTGAGATGCAGTATGCCATGAGCCGGGATGGCGTCGGAGAGAAAGCAACTTCAGTCAGATTCTATTATCTAGTGAGTATGATGGGGAAAGGGAAACGGAACCTTTTTTGTCTCGTGATATCGGATAATTGTAAGCAGTAGCAATTCATTAGAGGTCTATTTTGTTGTTGTATCATTAATATTATTATTAAACTTCTTTTTTGTACTTTTGTGCAACTGTGTATATTTTTTAACAGTGTTTAACTTGCAAATGGAATGGAAGTTCATAAAACGTTTCTTACGTAGTATAGAAACAGATTTCTTTAGAAAACGTTGGTTATTTTAAAATGTACTTGGATAGAGTTGCAAATGGTCAAAGGTCTGCCTGGACGGGGGTATTTCAGAGGGGCCAAGCTAGAAATCACATGGCACCATAGCAAAATGAATAGCCAGTGAACACCATATTGCTACAGTCTTGTGGCACAGTGCCTAAGCTGAAACATTTTATTATATATGCTTCCATGCAGCTGGAAAACAATCACTATCCTTGGGCGCTTTGATCGATGATTCCTAATCACAGGCAGTGTGCAGCTGTTTACATGCAGTGGGTGACTATCAACTTAAATAGATGACCGCTGCTGCCACATTAGGGATTCCTACTGCAGGAAAATTCAAATTCCTGACACAAATCCCTAAATCGCACCTAAACTCCTAAACTGACAGGTCACGGAGCGTGTGAACCTGGGCTACACACACAATTAAAAAAGCAACCCCCATTACCTGCACAATCCCTGGTGATCTACGGGTTGATTAGTATGGTCTGGTGCAGACCTTACTAATCCATCCTTTTGGCCAGAGTTCTAGCCAAAAGGAGCTTGCCGCAGCTGATTGGAGCAGCTGTGCGGTCTGCATCTGACAGATGGAGCTGGATGGTACTGGTAACGGGCCGAAATTGGCCTGTGGGTTGGTATTTGGATTTGGAGACCCATACAAAGCCTCCCTTTCTGCTGCAGATGGTACCCCCCCTCCTCCCCCTACACACACACTTTTAGTGCATTTGGGTTTCACCCACCATTTGGCAATTAATTATTCTCCTCTAGGCGCCCCAGGTCTCTCACAATAAAAGCAATGCCCCTGGTTCATGGAAATGGCATGAAGGCAAATGAGACTGATCGGGCTTTGCAGTATTTTTTTTACGTTTTATTTTTTTTACAGGTGCACTTTATTGTCTAGCAAGGTACATTAGCTTGAAATGACTGAAAGCTTCTTAGTTATATAATATTTAATTTAGATTGTTTTTCAATTTAATCTTTGTGTATAACTAAAAACCTTTCTAATAAAAACCTTTCTAATTTTGTAGTGTTCTTTTATTATATACAATTTATTGCCTCCTCTTAGGTCATGGCAAGATCGAAGATTATTCACGCCGGTCACCAAGATGCTGATTTGACCAGCTGTAAGTAGTTTTATGTGTTCATTGTGCGAAAGCTTAATTAATACTATCGATAAATAGACTTCAAAGTAATAGAACTGGTATGAAATTTTGTTTTGCGCCATACTGTCTCTAATCCTGTATCTGCATTAATTAAATGCACTTTCTCCTTACAGCAATGAATGGCTCTGTTTACATCCCTCTCTCTGTGTCTGCGGACATGGCGCCCAATGCCAACCTGGTTGTATTCAGCATCTTGAAGGGAGAGGTTGTTGTTGAGAAAGTCTCTATGGACATAGAGAAGTGCTTCAAAAACAAAGTAATTATGTGCTGTCGCTTTTATTGGTCAGTGACCAGAAGAGTTGAAACCTCTGCTAACTTGGACTTGTGTTTTAGAAACAATAATTTTAGTCACGCTCTTTATCTTTTGTCTTGCTGCATAGGTTGACATGGCTTTCTCAGAAGAGAAGGGGATGCCGGGAGCCACTGCTGAAGTTCTACTCTCAGGCGACCCAGAATCCATTTGTGGGCTCAGAGTTATTGACTCCAGCCTCTTGTTACTTAACCGCTACGAGCGTTTTTCACCTGAGAGTGTAAGTCATGGACAGTCTAATCACCTTCTAGTTTAATTCACTGACTGACAGAGGTGGGATACATATCAAATGTGCTTTACATTTCCCACTGTTTAAAATGGGAAATCATTCCAGTGGTAATTACGAATGAGAGAAACTAAAAAACAATTGCAACTTGCTGAATTTTATATATTCAAGTGCCTAAAGTAAGGCTGACTATTCTTTGCAGTAGGTACACAGAATTGGCTGCTTCTGACAGCCAACCACACTAAAGGCATGTGTTTTATCAGTGTAAATAAAGTAAAGGGCCCCTTATTCAAAATTTTGGGTTGCTGGTTTGAATTCATGCAATAGTTCTGACTTCATAAATGAGACAAGCAACAGGCTAAATAAAGAATATGAAATGCTGCTTTAGTATGGCGGTTAAATGGTCAGTCCATCCAAAAGTTTTATAGGTGAAACCATTGGTTTGAACCAATAGGCTTCACCTGTAACTCAGCTCCTGGGTTCTTATGTTTCTTGAATACTGCGACTACAAGATCTCCCTGCCATAGTTCCCAACTTTCTTCTGTCCACCTGGAATTTTTGGGTGTTCCCTCAAACACACTTTAGATGTTCCTGTCCACCTCACGTGTTGCAGCTCCTATTGGATTATCCATAATATAAAAAACACAATTGGATGGGGAGAGACCTTCATAATAGGCACAGAAGACTTGCAGGCCTGGGAAATTGGCGCAGAGGTCTCACCAACTGAGACTCTAAGAGATCATAAGAAACTGACAGTTGCAGAAAAACCTATGAGGTGCGTGATTTACATTCATCCCCATAGTTAGAGCTCATGTGTGACTTTGAAACTCACATGTTGCCTCTATTGGGATGTGAGCGAACACATCGTCACTTCCCGATCCTCTTCCTGCAGAGAGCGGTGACTGTTGGTCACCACTCCCCACAGGGATCCCCCTCCTCCCCTCTCCGATCCACCAGCGCTGACTGGAGGGATGAACAGGGAGGAGGCGGGCACAGCCTGCTCTGCCTCTAGATAGGCAGAGCCTGCTGTCAAATCAGCCAGCTGGGTGGGTCTCGACAGTATTGCCAGGATCCGTCCTGGCTGCGGCGCTCTCAGTATATAACTGGCAATAGCCTGCTATATACTGAGCTTTAGGGCCACGGGAGGACATGTACTAAATCTCCTCCCGTGACCCAAAGAGAACTATGGAAGAAAAAGGTTACCTCATCATTCTCTTTTAAAGTAACAAAAAATGGTGGCCTGACCCTTTAAACTAGGTCTTCACTGACCTACATTCTGGTACATTTTCGCCTGCTTTAGTTTGTGTGCCTCCCCCTCCATGATGCCACCGCAAGGGTCAGTTTCTTCTAAACGTATGAGTAATCCATCTTGGAAGAATGACATTCAGCTTTGTAATGGGAGTTGGGGAAATAGGAAACCTCTAGTAGGGATATTTTGCAATCAGACGTGTGTGTGTGTGTGTGTGTGCTTAGCAACTTTCCTGCAACATCCTAAAATAGAAGCTTCACTTTTTTTTTTCTTTTTTTTGCTTGAACGTGTCCTTTTCAATAACCTCAGACGTATGAGGGTGACTGTGCCATGTCTGTATCCTAACTCTCTGTTTGTGTAACAGATCCATGGCTTATTTTCCTACTGGTCCTATGGCTACGATATCGCTGGTTTTAATGTGGAGGATCCAGAGCCTCAATGTCTAGACCCGAACAAGCTGATCTTCTTTAAAGGGATTGACTATTTACCTGTGAGCAGCGACTCTGAAGGTGACAGCTACCAGAATCTTAAGGTGAGAATACTTGTAAAAACTGCTAAACTAAAGATGATCATTGTAATGTGTTAGAGAATCTTGTAACCACGACTAGATCAGAAAGTTCTAGGCAAAACTTTTCTCTTCTACCTGGTAATGTCCACTGAGAAACTTGGAAGACTTGGTCAGCTGTATTAACAATGAACTTTTTAACAGATGAGCATTGCTAAGGTGAAATCAGTTGTCTGTATTTAACTGTCTGCACATTTGCTTCCCTTTTTCACTGATTTGTTAAAGACCTTGGTTCACGGAGATGCCCTAATACCCTTCCTCATTAAGGCTAGCCATAGGCTTCTATCTGAAAACGACTAGTGGGGAGACAGGGCCATCGCTAGCACAAAGACCGGCCACTATTGGGTCCAATTTTGTTCACACTAAAATGGCTTCACTCCGCCTACATACATAAAAAGAAAAGCAGCTCGTAAAAGGTTGCTGCATCTTGAAAGAAGATCAACTGCAGGCCATGCACCTGGCCATGAACGCTGAAAGATCTAATCTCAATTGCAAGCAGAATGCAAGATGTATTTGCTCGTTAACATTAACCCAAAGTCCAACACAGTTCCTTCCTTCAACTTGGTGAACTGAAGCAGGACCTGTAAGCTTGGTAGTCTTCCATCCCATGACATGGCAAAAGAATTTGAGGGTGGTGCAGGTTTTGGTCCAGTCCCTCCCCAACACTTTGATGTACTATGCTTTGGTGTTTAAACATGTAGGTGGTAGGGCACAATTAAAACTTTTGCAAAGTGTCCCTCAAAGCTGAGGTTCTTTTGAAGTCTCAAGCAGGAAGCGCCATTGATTGGTCATGTGATCTGTCAACCAGAGGGGATGCATTGGTCTTGTCCCACAGGGTCATCCCACATTAATCTTGAGATCTAGTTTGTCTGCTGCATTGTAAATGCAAGTTTAAGCATGGTAGCTTATGACAGTGAAGTGCAGGTGGGTATTGATAGAGTGTAGGAGCCACCACACAACTGTGGACCCAATGTCTCTGCTTCTCTATAGTTTGACTGGAGTAAGATTGGGCAGGTTGCACTGAGATTATCAATCCTCATAAGCCCCACTCAAAGCCAAGAAACCTCCAAAATGTAAGCCTGAAATGTGGGCTTAAAATACATGATTATCCTTTTATTCTACTGCAGCTCTTACACCTAAGATATTACGTTATCTGGCATCTAGGAATGCTTCAAATTCTTCCCCAAAGCTAATGGGTTATGTTGGGGGCCCTAGTAAATGTTCTCTGTTGGGTTCTGCCCATTCAAGATATATTCAGTACTTCTAGATATGAAGGAGCATGTGCTAGATATGAAGGAGCTTTTGACTGTGAAGAGCTAATCCCTGCAGTCACTTTTTACATGCATATGCTACAAAAATTGATGCTATCATGAAAATACATCCTGTACTTAATAAGCTTGACTCAAAACCATAACATGGAACTGTCCACAAAAAAAGTGAATGCACATATATGCATAAGAGTAGCACATGTGTTAGTAAATTGACCCTACTTACTGTTCATGATGAGCTCTCTTTAGCCTCACGGCTGATGTGCCATCTGTAGCCTCAAAAATCTGATAGCTGTCCCTTCCCCCTTCCTTTTTTTTTTTTAATGGATTTTTTTTTTTCCACGTATTTTAGGAAGCCGGATTGATTTTTGCAACCAGAGACCAAGTGAGAAAGCCGAAGGTCTGCGACTACAGATATAACCAGCGGCCTAATTACGGCTTAACTGCAGATGGGGCAGGTAAATAATGGCTTTTGATGCTTCAATCTAAATTTGTACCCACAACAAAAAATGTCTGTCCCAATAATGTTTACACATCTGAGTGCACTGACGATGTGGTGATTTCAGTCCTATGAAAAAGCAGACCTTTGCTGGGTAGACAAGTGACATTTTATTTAAAGATGAACCCCAAGCAAACAGCTAAACACACAGATACATATTGGTAAGCAGTTTTATCTTATCCCGTGGTGCCCCCTTCCCCACATAAAAACACACCTCATCCTGGCCCGGTGTCACCATTAGAATATTTCTGCTCGCCTCTCGTTCTGACAACACAATTATATAGGCTTTCCCATCACTCTGTGTTGGTGATGGTCACCAGGACAAATAGAAGGGTAAATCTCCCCAGTGGGGACCAGGAATGGTCTCCTTTTGGCAACTTGCATTGGTTCATATCTGATACTGGAGGGCTGCTGGGGATGCCAAAATTACTGTAGTAGTTCACACTTCATACACCGATAGCCGTGATCTTCCAGGTGTGGCTCCAGCTGCCATTTAGAGAACATCTTGTTAATATATTTTTTTTATTGAATACAAGGAGTTCTTGATTGGACAAAGTGGCCAGGAAGACCAGATGTTATGATCTCCACCTTGTCAAATCAAACAATGCCTTCTTTTCCTTGAACAAATAAAAGGTGTTCTCTGAATGGTGTGAATGACTCCCTGTGTTCGGTGGGGAAGCTGCAGCCAGAAGATCAGGTCTATCGCTGTATGTAGCAGGAACTACTACAGTGATTATCGGCATCCCCTGCAGATATGGATAAACTTTCATCAAGCCAAGGTAGACCAATGGAAGTATCCATAAAAGATCATTCCTGGAGTTCCACTTTAATCCACTTCCATTTTACAGCAGACTGGATCCATATAATTATCTCGTCCGCCCTCCCTCCCTACCAAGGTCTCTAAAGATTTTTATTCTCCCTGATCTGTTAAGTTCCAGAAGCTTCAATTTCCCTCAAATCTGCTAACAATCAAGGTTTTGCTGGCGGTGCCGGTGGTGGTGGAGGTCCTGCGATTGAGACTGTTCGGACAAACTTCTCGGACACTTTCATGTGGTTCATGGTTCCTCTTGAGTAAGTACCTAAATCCTTCATGGACAAGCCATGAGCCAGTGTGCATGTGGTTAAGTGAAGTCACTTTGTTTGCCTGAAGGAACCAGGATTGGTCCAGAAATGTTGCTACACATTGTGAGACCTGTGATGCCAATAAAAGGATCCGACGTTTAGGACGTTGGAGTGCCAGAGATCTCTTCTTTCTCATTGGGTATTCCCCTCACATCTGTTCCAGTGACGACACACAAAGGAAAAAAAAATGCTCCAACAGGGACACGGCTTTAAAAAGGGGAAAAACTGACCCTTATCAACTGCAGTTGCTTCTGTAAAGCTGAACTCCTCCGGTTCAGTCTTGCAGAGTTGTACAGTATCCTCTCCTGGACACAAGCTGCTTCCTCCGTGATAAGCTCACAGTGTGCAGTGAAAATCTGTGTGCATTAAAAGCTGGAGTTGCAGGAAGTCAGAGACCACTTCCGTTCCTAGTTCTTTAGTTCTTCATCATCTAGCTCTTTTCCTCCCCAGTCTTGACGAGTCGGCAGCATTGTTTTTGCTGAGAGAAATCCATAGATGCATGTACAGAGGGCTGTGTATGGGTGGAGTTCTGGTGTCCTGAAGGCTCAGTCAGGGCTGACCTTGGTTGTGATTTCGAGCTGATTTCGAGCAACAAAGGCAGCGATGTAAGCCCAAACGGGGAGTTAGGATCACAATAGATTTCTTGCAGATCAGAAGGTTTCTTTACATGGGGCATTTTTTACTGTAAGAAATAGTCCAGTAAACCCAGACAAGTGACTGATTCCCTTACATTTGTGTTTCAGTAAAGACGGTCACGCTGCTTTATCGGAAATTGTCCCAGACACCATCACACAGTGGAAAGGAACTGCTTTCTGCCTGTCCGATAAGGGAGGTTTTGGGATGACCAAGTATGCGGCCAACTATACAACATACTTGCCGTTCTTCGTCGAGCTCACCAAGCCCTATTCCTTCATCCGGGGGGAGACTTTAGTCCTGGTAGCAGTTGTACAAAACTATCTGGAGCAAGCTGTCAAGGTGAGTGCTGACTTGTTATATAATGTATAGTGCCCCAGCAACTTCTTCTGTTGCCTCTTTGTACTATTGACTTTAGTTTTGAATACATATTTCACCATCGTCTTGCTTTTATTGCATTTGTCTTATTATTAAAGTCTGCACTTTGCAACTCTGTATTCAGTAATACAACTTTAACCACTTCAGTACCAGCATGTTGCACCCTCTTCATTACCAGGCCAGTTTTTTAGTTTTTTTAGTGCTGTGCAAGTTTGGCTGAGAATTACTGTCACACAACACTAAGAAAATTAATTTGATATTTTTGAAGACAAATCAAGGTTTTCTTTAGTGTTTTAATGACAGCTTTTAAAGTGTGC